GATCCTCCTGCCTCAGCCACCTGAGTAGCTGGGGCTAGAGGTGCGCGCCCCCAGGCCCAATAATTTTTCTATTTTTTGTAGAGCCGGGGTCTCGCTCTTGCTCAGGCTGCAAGATCTGAGTTTTAAGAACTGTGGCCACAAGCGTGGAGTGGCAGTTAGGCATGGAAGCACGGAGCCCGAGTCCCCAGGGTCCTCATCTGTGGGAAAGAAGCAGCAGGGAGGCAGGAGGAGAGGCGGGGTGCTGGGCTCCGAACCCGTGGCAGCCGGAAAAGCCCCATTTTTGGGAGGTGAGATTGCCGCCTGGAGGTGTGAAGCGGCCACCTAGCTCCCCACCCTGGAGTGCGGTTTCCCCTTCGCAGGTCATTTATCAAGCGCCTGCTGGGTGCCAGCTGCAGCCCTGCAGTGTTGGGGGACCTTCGGGGCTCATCCTAGAGGGCCCGATGGGAGGCTTGGCCCGCAGGGCTGTGGGGGAACCCGGCACCAAAGGGTTAAAGCTCCTCCCGCCCCCGCCGCGCGTGTCTTTGATTGGTCGGAGCAGGCAGGAGCGGTTCTGCCTATCCCGGGAACGGTGGGGGCGAGAGCCGGGCTCTCCAAGGGGCCACGTGGGGGTGTGACCCGGCCTGGCTGCCCCTCCCCCACCCACTCCCACCCCCAGTTCCTGGATCTTCTCTCCTGGGGTGTTCTCACCCCCCTCCGTGGCCCGCAGGGCCTGGAGCGCAGGGGCGAAGGGCATGGTCCCGGTGCAGGTCACAGCTGCAAGACCCAGCCCCGCTTCCCGGCTGTCGCCGCCGCTCTGAGGGTGGGGGAACTGGGCCTGGCCTGGAAGTTCCTGGGAACTGGGGGTGGCGGGGTGCGGGGCCAGTCCCAGCTGGCCCGTCGGAGGAGCGGCGGCCTGGGAGAGGCGTGGGAGAGCGACACAGACAGGGATGGAGAGTGACACACACAGAGACAGGGAGAAAACACCGACAAGAGACTCTGAGAGACCCGATGAGAGAGACACAGAGGAAGTGAGGCCGGACATTCATTCGCTCATTCATTCACTCGCTCAGCAGACACTTCTTGGGCCTTGGCTGTGTCCCCCGGCACTTGCCCATGACAGACTCAAATCCCTACCCCGGTGGGGCTGACAGGCGGCTGAGGACACAGCCCAGAAACACGATGATGAGTAAATGGCGTTGTCGGGAGAGATAAGGGTGGGAGAGACCGGCCGGGGACGGCCCTGGGCAGACCCTCCTTATCTGGGGAGGGGGAAATTCCCACCACGATCCCGGCTGCGCCCCCCTCCCCCACTGGCCCGAGCCCGGCCGGGGGTGGGAGCAGGAAACGGGGAGGGACCTGTGCCCGGGACCGCAGGGATCTATCTGCTGGGGGAGGACACAGGCTCCGCCCGCCCGTACTGACGATCCCTCCCAACGCCGCGCTGCCCTGGTCCCCCCGTGGACGGGGCGTCCTGGGGTGCAGCCCAGGAGGCTCGGTTGGCAGGTAGGTGGGACATGGGGAGGGGCTAGTGCCTCGCACCCAAGGACAGACGAGACTCCTGAGCTACGGGGAAGGGGCTCCGGCTGCGGCCGCCCCTGCTGGAGAACCCTCCCCTTTCCCGCCTCTCGAGTCCTCCCACCCGCCGCGACGGAGCGTCCCCGGGAGGCCTCGCCGGTGCCAGTCGCCGCCGGGGCGCGCTCCGGTGCCGCGGCGGGTGGCACAGGCTGGCAGCCCCGGGCTGAGTGCCCGGACCTAAGGGAGGGGGCAACTGCTGGCGACCGCCAGCCCCCTGCGTCGTGGCCCGCCCCCTCGCCTGCCGGCTCCAGCCCCGCCCTCAGAGCAGCGGCCGCTCACTCGCTCAGCGCAGCGCGACTGCGGGGGGCGCACGACCAGGGCTCGCTGGTGAGTGTATAGTACTGGGTCTCTGGGGGCTCCGGGCTCGGCCTGGCCCGGAGAGGATACCCTTGGCGGCGGGTCTCTGGGTCTGGAAAGGCGCACCGCCCCTTGCAGGGGTTCCCGGTCCTTTCCTGGAGGCCTCTGGGGAGGGGAAAGGCGACTCCGCGGCTGGGTGTGCCTGAGGTGGGTGTGAGGGCGCCTGGAATCCCCTGGCCTCGCCCCTCCTGGCCCTGCCACTGCAAGTTCCCGTACTTCAGTCCTACTGTCAGGCAAGCCGGTAGGAGGGTGGTGGCGTCCCCGCCAGAGCATGTGTAACCGTGTCCCGTGTATTTGGGTCCCAACCCCCACCCCAGCGTGGCTGAGACAGTGACTTCCTGCAGGTCTGTTCTCACGTGTGGTTCTCTGCATGTGACTGGAGCCGTCTGGGATGCATTGGCCCCTTCTGTGTTCAAAAAAGTTCCATTCCTGGTGGCTCACGCCTGTAATCCTAGCACTCTGGGAGGCCGAGGCGGGTGGATCGCTCAAGGTCAGGAGTTCGAGACCAGCCTGAGCAAGAGCGAGACCCCGTCTCTACTAAAAATAGAAAGAAATTAGCTGGACAACTAAAAATATATATATAGAAAAAAATCAGCCGGGCATGGTGGCGCATGCCTATAGTCCCAGCTACTCGGTAGGCTGAGGCAGGAGGATCGCTTGAGTCCAGCAGTCTGAGGTTGCTGTGAGCTAGGCTGACGCCATGGCACTCTAGCCCAGGCAACACAGTGAGACTCTGTCTCAAAAAAAAAAAAAAAAAAAAAACTTCCACTCCCCCTCCCCAGGCCTTGGTTTTCTCATCTGTTAAGTGGGACACACGTGACTGTGTGACCTTCCCTGCTTGGCTGCGTTTGTGTGGGAACGTGAAAACTATTGTCTGCTTCGATGCCAAGTATTTCTTTGGAGTCTCAGTTTCCTCATCTGTAAATTGGGACTAAAGGGAGAGTTGGCCAGGGGATTTAAGGGAGCGGTCACAGGTGGAAAGTGTTACTTTAATGACATGTGTGCCCCTCTGCAAGAACCTGCGGGTGCATATGGATCCCGTCCGCAGTCCTAGGCTCTGCCTCTGTGACACGGTGGATAGCATCAACTTTCTACGGGGATTTGGCGTGGATGGGCGGCTTGGGCAGGAAAAAGTCTTGTGTGCAGTGAGGCCAGGGCAGGGAGCATGGTACTCTGAGCCTCTGGCTGGTGTGAAGTATGGAGGTTGTGAAATTGTCGCCTGTGGACTGGTGCGAGACCCCATTTGCGTGTGACTGAATTTTTGTCCCTGTGTGTCGCTGACCCTGTTGGTCTGTCCCATGTATGAACGTAGTTCTGTTTCTCCGATGATGTGTGACTGTGTATTTTTGCCCGTGTCAGTGTGTCACTGTATTGGCGTGTCCTTTTTCTGTGTGTGGTTGTGCGTGTCTGTCTCCATGGACACCCCCTGTCTATCTTGAACTCCCCTGGGACTTCTGTGGGGGGGGGCGGGGAGATGAGCAGGGGTTAGGGCCCGCGGGCCGCCGGGAGGGACCTTGCGCCCGGGGTTGGCCGGCCTGACGCTGTCTCCTGCCACTCCACAGCCTCGGGGCGCGCAGCCCATGGAGTCGGGGCTGCTGCGACCGGCGCCGGTGAGCGAGGTCATCGTCCTGCATTACAACTACACGGGCAAGCTCCGCGGTGCCCGCTACCAGCCCGGCGCTGGCCTGCGCGCCGACGCCGTCGTGTGCCTGGCGGTGTGCGCCTTCATCGTGCTCGAGAACTTGGCGGTGCTGTTAGTGCTCGGGCGCCACCCGCGCTTCCACGCGCCCATGTTCCTGCTCCTGGGCAGCCTGACGCTGTCGGATCTGCTGGCTGGAGCCGCCTACGCTGCCAACATCCTGCTGTCGGGGCCGCTCACGCTGCGACTGTCGCCTGCGCTTTGGTTCGCGCGTGAGGGAGGCGTCTTCGTGGCGCTCGCCGCGTCCGTGCTGAGCCTCCTCGCCATCGCGCTGGAGCGTCGCCTCACCATGGCGCGCCGGGGGCCCGCGCCCGCAGCCAGTCGGGGGCGCACGCTGGCGCTGGCGGCTGCCGCCTGGGGAGTGTCGCTGCTCCTTGGGTTGCTGCCGGCGCTTGGCTGGAATTGCCTGGGTCGTCTGGACGCCTGCTCCACGGTCCTGCCGCTCTACGCCAAGGCCTATGTGCTCTTCTGCGTGCTCGCCTTCGTGGGCATCCTGGCCGCCATCTGTGCGCTCTACGCGCGCATCTACTGCCAGGTGCGCGCCAACGCGCGGCGTCTGCGGGCGCGGCCGGGGGCCGGCGGGGGCACCTCCATCCGGGCGCGCCGCACGCCACGCTCGCTGGCACTGCTGCGCACGCTCAGCGTCGTGCTCGCGGCCTTTGTGGCGTGCTGGGGCCCTCTCTTCCTGCTGCTGTTGCTCGACGTGGCGTGCCCCGCGCGCGCCTGTCCTGTGCTTCTGCAAGCCGACCCCTTCCTGGGCCTGGCCATGGCCAACTCGCTTCTGAACCCCATCATCTACACGCTCACCAACCGCGACCTGCGCCACGCGCTCCTGCGCCTCGTCTGCTGCGGCCGCCACCCCTGCTGCCGAGGCCCGGGTAGCTCCCAGCGGTCCGGGAGCACGGCGGGAGCTTCGGGTGGCCTGCGCCACTGCCTGCCCCCGGGTCTGGACGGCAGCTCAGAGCGCTCGTCGCCCCAGCGCGAGGAGCTGGACACCAGCGGCTCCACCGGCAGCCCCAGCGCGCCCAAGGCCGCCCAGACCCTGGTACCCGAACCGGTGGCAGACTGATGCCCACGCCCGCCTTTGTCTTTCTCGAGAGCCGTTTTGCAGATTTTTTCTTTTTATGTAAAGGAAATTGTAGGAAACACAGCCGAAGATAGCGGAGGCGGAAAAGACGCAGGGGAAATGTATTTATGGACGCTAAACCCCACAACAGTGAACAGACAAAAAATCCTTGCTTTCGTGGAACTGACGTTCTAGAGGGGAACCCAGACAATAACGGAGTGACAAAATAATGGAGATAATTCCAGTGACAATGCAGAGGATGATGATGGTGGTCAGGGGAGGCCTTTCTGCAGAGGTGGTGACGTGTGGTGTGAGCTGAGACGTCCTTGTCCTGGGAACACCTAAAGGAAAAGCATTTCGGGATGAGGGAATGGCAAGTGCAAAGGCCCTGAGGCTGGAATGTACCCATGCGTTCTGGGAAAAGCAAGGATGCCAGTGCCGCTGCAGCAGCTATGGAGTGGGAGGTGACAAAAGATGGAAGATGAAGGGGCAGATCGTGCAGGACCTTGTGTGCCACGGGGAAGCCTTTGCTTTTGTGCGGAGTGAGGCGGCAGCCATGGAGGGTTCTAAGCAGAGGAGGGATTTGCCCTGATTCAGGTGTTCGCAGGTACCCTGTGACCTTCGTGGAGGACAAGGGTGGAGGCAAGTGAACAGGGGCCGCGCTGAGCAATGACAGCGACGCTGGTCGCTCAGACCATGTGGACTCTGCATAGACTCTAGAGGCAGCGGACAGACCTACTGAGGAATTGGGTGTAACAGTAAGAGAAAGTTGTCAAGGGCAACACCAAAGGCAGGGCACCCCAAAATTTGACTCTTGGAGACTCAGCCAAATCCTGACAATAAAATTTATTTGAGAGCGTTGTCAGGTCATAAAAATAAAAATATAATCAATAAGGTTGAAAAACTTGTTTTAAGGAGGCCATCTGGATGTTGCAATCATGAGTGATTTTTTTTCTGTTCTATATGATATTTTGTACTTTTCATTTTTCAGCAATAAATGTTCTCTCAATTGTAACTATAGAAAACGTACATATCCACGCGTGCGCGCACACACACACACATACACAGCAAAGATGTATAGAGTTTCTGGTCAGATGACCTGAT